GTTACATTCGGTAGCCTGCCAGTTTGTCCAAAGTAGGGATGAGATGATAAGATGTCGCGCGGCCGACATAATAATAATAAGTAACATTATTTCTTTTTAATATTACTTATAAAAGTACATTGTGATCCTAGACTAAATTTTGTATATTCATTCATTTACTGGTAGTTATTTGGATTGGTTCCACTTCTTGGCCATTCTGAATCAGTCTGCTATGAACATAAGTTTGCAGAATTCTTTTTGAGCCCCTGCTTTCAAGTTGTTTGGATATATAGTCCAGAAATGAGAAACTTGGATTCCATATGGTTCAATTATTCTTAATATTTTGAGGAACTGCTCTGCCATTTTCCAGATTGGCTGCACCATTTACAGTCTCATCAATAGTGCATAACTATTCCAATTTCTCCACATCCTCACTAATATTTATTTATTTTTCTTTTTTAAAGAAATCATCCTAATGGCTATGTGTTATAGGAATTATATATATGTATATATATCTTTTTAACAAAACTTTTTTTTAATTTATTACAAAGTAAGAATATCAACTTCACAGCAATGACATTTTTTTTTAATTTTTAATTTTTTTTTTTTAGCAATGACATTTTGACTTAACATTTCCATAAGAGAAAATGCAAGGATTCCATTTCAGGTGCTCCTGAACTTTTTATTCTCTTAAGTTCCAAATCACCCAAAGACCACATAAGATCTTTTGTTCTGAGTGCCAACATGTATAAGATATTAGGTATTCTACTAGATTGACTGACTTTAGATATGAAATAAGAGCCTACAGCTTACAGTAGTAATGCTCAACATTTGATCTCTGGGCCAGTAATAGCAACATTACAGAGAACTGTTAGAAATGCAAATTCTCAAATCTCACCCCAGACCTACTAAATCAGAAACTCTGTAAGTGGGGACAGCAATCTGACTTAACTAGCTCTTTAAGCAGTCCTGATGCATCTCAGGTATGAGCCCCAGACACATCTATAAACTGTATATAGATAAACTGCAAATAGCCTTTATATCATTGCCAGCAGGAAACTGACATGTGTTGAGAAATTTGAGTTTTCTAGAGAGATCTGATATGGCAAATCTGTGTTTCATGCTTTATACTCCAGTTGTCAAAAAACTGTGGAGTAGTCGAATTATCACTTAATCACTTAACTTCCTGTTAGTCATCGATTTGCTCGAGCAGGCGCCAGTAACGTCTCCATTTGTCCCTGTCACGTGCTAGTGTAGCCCAATGGCATCTGTTCTCTCTGGGATCATGAAGAGCCTCAAACCGATCGTTCATGATCTTCACGAAGAAGTCTGACCATCTGGTAGGTGGGTGGCCACGTGGTCTTTTGACATCCAGTGGAATCCAGTCAGTAACAGCTCTAGTCCAGCGGTCGTCTTTAAATCTCATTACATGACCAGCCCATCTGAATCGAATTATAATTTTGCTATAATAGTCATTTGGAGGCTCGGTCAGATTTTAATTTATCAGAGGTATGATAAAAATGAACACCAAGACAGTCATCCTGACCAGGAAAGTCACCCCCAGCCCTACATTTATCCGCTGTCTGCTATGTCATTACCATCCATGGCTGCCCACTTTTGACCTCATTGTGGAGAGTTTGCAATGCAGGTCCAACAAGAAGGCAGAAGTGGAAGCCAACTTGGAATCACTGTTCTCCTTTCAGTATCATGAGGCCACTTTATCTCCTTGCATCCCATAGCCCCGTATTTCCCAGAGAACTCGAGAAGAACAGACATCTCTAGATTACAGTTTCCTCTGAAAGATAAAGGAGCCTTATTTTAGTCCTAGGATGAGAGTCCCATCTTAGACTTTTGTATTACAACATTGTTAATAATAAAATACTTCCTAAACTATTGTGGCTTAAACAATGAAAATCCTCTCTATCTAAAATTTACATTTGGGTACTTGATCATTGTATAACTGAAACGCAAGCACAAAAATTTGTAAGTCTACAACTGTACCTCATGGTGTTTCACTAAGAAAAATTAAAAAAGAAAACTATATTGTAGATTGCAAAAAAATAATAAAATTTACATTTATTTCTTGAGTTAGCATGCTTTTGTATTTTCCTGGTTCTTTTTTTTTTTGAAAATATTGCATACTACTTTTTATTTATTTATTTATTTATTTATTTTGCTTTTTGGGTCACACCCGGCGATGCTCAGGGGTTACTCCTGGCTCATGCACTCAGGAATCACTCCTGGCGGTGCTCGGGGGACCATATGGAATGCTGGGAATCGAACCTGTGTCGGCCATGTTGGCTGCGTGCAAGGCAAACGCCCTACCCTTTGTGCTATAGCTCCAGCCTCTTTCCTGGTTTTTTTAAGTGAAAAAAAGAAAAGGTCTTTCAGAAGAACAGAAGGCTAGAAATCTGTAGACTTCAGCACAGCTGCAGTTTTAGAGTGGAAGAGGAAAACGCTAAGGAGTTAAATTCTCAAACTACTTGGGAAAAAGAAAAGATGTTTGGGGGGGGTTGTGGATTTGAACTGTTATAATGACAGAAATAGAACCCTTTACCTAATATTCTTTAGCTTCCACCCATGCATCTTCGTCCTCCACTGAGGCCTGCTTGAACCCGCTGCAAAGTCTACTAACCCTGAGACTTAGTAGACTTTTCTCTTATGTCTGAGAGAAAAGGTAACTGTTTTTGCTTCGTAAATCACATCTTAAAATAAATTATTCAAATGTCTTAGAAATTCAAGCCTAGATATCACATTTAAATTGGAAATATGTGCCAGCCCAAGTTATCGCCCACATAGTATGTTTCGATCAGTTAACAAACCTCAAAATATTTCACCTGCAGTTTCACTCTTAGCAAAGACACATAGACAAATCAGCAATCCCCATGAATTCTTCCAGCTTACACATCAGTGCACTCTGACGATTGCAAGGTTGACTTTAATGATCATGTAAAATCAGTGATATGCCAGGATTTGGATGTTAGCCCATAGCTTACTGAGTCGTGTGTGCTTTTTTTACTCCTCATTTTAACACTTGTCAGTGTTATGTTACAATATCTGACACATAGTTTGTCTTAAACATTAACTCAGTGTTGAGAGTTGATCAATAGTCAGTCTCATTTCCCCACTTCCTGATTAAATCAATGCACATGTCTCATTTAAAGAAAGGAGAACGTACACAAAAGTTGATTCTAACTTATCTCAATCTAAAGAAAGAAAAATTGCGTGCCTTGGATGTCAACGATTTTGCTTCTTTGTGATTTTTATGAATTAATAAATTACAGTATTTCTACTTCCTCAGTAAACTTTTTATCATTGATTAAACCTCAGGGGGTAATTGAATTACATTTTCTGAAAGAACCAATATATTGACTTTCTAAATGTAAATTGCAAGACTAGAAGATTGTGCATCTATAGAACTTTCATTAGGAATACAAAATATTAAATTCTATATTCATTTAAATTGTACAGTTTTCCTAAGGAACCATAAGGTTCAGATCTCTAAAATAGAGGTGTATAAAAATACCACTATTTTTCTATAATTAAAATAATTTTAAAACTTGTTCTGTAAATGTTAGCTAAGATTCTTTATGAAGATAACTGTTATTTATTTATTTATTTATTTTTAGTGTGGGTCCACACCTGGTTAGGCTCAGGTCTTACTCCTGGCTCTTAACTCAGAGATTTCTTCTGGGGCCATTTCTCTTATGCGGTGCCACAGATCAAAACTTGGGTCAGTTACATGCAAGGGAAGAGTTTTTATCTCTTCTATCTTTCTGGCCAACAGCCTATCTTTTTTAATGAAGTTTTGATGGTTTGCATTCAACTTGCCTTCAGCAACAATGGAAGCATTCCAATCCAATCACAGTGTGTATTTGTTTCCTTACATCCCAAAACACATGTTGTTAGTTGAATGGTAACTACCCCTTTCCAGGTTTAGAAAAAAAAACTATGAACCTGACACTTTCAAAGCAAGAAAATCAGTTAGTCAAGTGGACCTTTCTGAATTTATACTTAGAACTCTTCTAAAAATATATTGAAAGGTCAGTCTAATACTATTATATTTTAAGTAACAAGCTTTAGTATGTATTGCGCATGTAGGAATAAAGGCATTGGCAATGATAAAATAGTGACCATTTTTCAAAAACATGCTTAGACATACTTCCCATTCAAAATTATTTTAATGCTTAAGCATGCATACTTCCATCTGTTAGAGAGAGAAAACACTAAGGAAATAAATTTGTAAGATATTTATATGACATCTTTATAGTCACTTAAGATATAAAGATAATCTTATTTTTCTAACTTTCATGATCAAAACAGCTAGCTGTGAACTTGAAAGAATTAACATTCAGTTTAATAATGATTAATCTTTAAAAGCATGCATTTTAATTAACTTATAAAATAGCTTCTACCCAAAGGGAAGAAAATAGCTCATTAATATGCTTTATGCAGCATGTATAATTTTGATATAGCTTAGAGAACTGCTTTCTAAACTTTAATGATCATAAGAGTTACCTGCAGTGTTTTGAAATACAAATCCAGGATCTCTTCCCCAGAGATTCTAACCAGTAAGTCTAAACAGGACTCCGGGAATAACACAGGATCTCACCCTCAGGTAACTGCTATAAAATTTGAGCTCATACCACTCTGAGAAACATAAGACTAAAATGATAAATACAGTATCATTGCTTCACAAACCACAAAACCTTCAGATAAAATGCCAATCTTAGATCATTTTCCAGATACTTTATATTACTTTGCCAGAATATCAAGACATACACTATCTGAAAGACTATTCAAAACAAATTTAGATTTACTCATTCCTTGTGCTATTTATCTAATGTTGTTTATCAAGATTTAACTATAGATTTTTTTCATTGACTAATAAGAACATGTTGACTTGAAATTTTTTTAACTTGTACTTAATTTTTCTTCTTATGATTTCCAATTAATTTGTATATTATCTGAAAGTAAAATGAAATTTTAGTTACTTACTGTGTTTCTTTTTTGGTTTCAAGGGAAGACGAGGAAAAACAGGTCCTCCAGGAAAACCAGGACCCCCAGGACCTCCTGTGAGTAAAAAATAGGAGACCAGTTGCTCCAGAGAGCACTATGTTTATTTTTGTGTGTTTATCTAAAGGGTCCTTTATTTCTCTGAGATGATAATGTTCATATTTTTATTTATTGTTTTGGAATTTATTTCTCTGTCTCCTTGTTGCCACTGCTTTAGTTGAAGTCCTTTTGGATTCTCACCTTTACTTTTGTAATTATTTCAGATTTCGTCCTTTCCATCTCAGATTTGGTCTCTCACATCTCTGACTATATAACTCCTTGACTTAACGTTCTTGGTTGGTTTCTGAAAACTTCCAAAATAGATTCCAATCTTCTACATGCCATTCTAGGTTCTTTGTAGTTGCTCTTTATCTGACTTGGTTTGTCCTCCTCAATTCCTTCTATTTTTTTTTGTAAATTGTGATGTCATGTAACCTTATTACCTCAAAGAAACCTGATTCACACATACTCTCCTGAGACCTAAGTAAGTGTCCATCTTTATGACTCAGCTCATCATCTGTTCTCCTACCTACCAAGTGCCAGTACTCGAAAATGTGGGCAACCATTTTCTATAACACTTGTCACCTTCGACCACCTAGCACAATTTTTTCAGCATTATTGTCTTTATCTCTCTGTCTACAACACTGTGCATTTATTTATTTTTTTATTAATGAAACACCATGAGGTACAGTTATAGACTTACAAATCACTGTGCATTTTAACACTGTTTTATCACCATTACCTAACATAGTTCTTGGCATGAATCGTGTAATTAATAAATAATGATTATGTAATGAATGGGTAGATAAATGGATATATCTATGGCTAAGAAAGTTAAGACCTGAAGATAAGTACCCATTTAAAGGCTAGAACCGCCCTAAACCACCATTCCCCTAGAAGGTTCTATATTTATACCTGAGGAATTGTTTAGGGCAAGGTCATGTGACAAAATGACCATGTAACTACTCTCCCATCATTGATTATGTTTCATCCCCTTTAACCATTCAAGTGGGTTGTTGTCTTCTGGTATTATCTGATTTTGAGTATAAAAATGAGTTGTAATAATTGGATATCTTGATACCAACCTTTAATAAAATAAGCTTTGTTGGTTCTTTTTTTCCAAAATTGCCTGGCAAAACACACAACACATTGTTAGATTAGTCAGATATTGTATTGTGTTATAAAGAAGTGCTGGTGAATGCTAACAGGCAAGATTAGACCTTCACAAAGTTTTCTGAACATGTGCTGCTGCTTTCAAAAAAAGGATAATTGTTGTCTCAGAGGAAGAATTTGAATGACGAACGCCTTTATGACAAGCTCACCAAATGCTAGGAGAGAAAAGGATTACACCGAGTTCTGGAATTAATTCTCAACTATAGATCAAATGAGTTTACCTAAGAGTTTATAAGATTAAGACATATATGACTATGTGAAATAATTTACAGTCTTCAGTCCCACAGGTCCTAGTTTGCTGCCAAAAACTTGAGAGATAAGTACTTATTTTATTTTAAGAATTAGAATCTAAAACCAGCTCTGGGTCTAGTACCTAGTGCTCATTAAATCTTGAGCACAGAGTATTTAAAAGAAAACCAGTTTATTACCTTTAGTAATGCAATGAAATACCAACTTGTGAGGCCAAATAAGGAAAACATCTATTCCAAAGAGAAAAGAGTTTTATTTAGAGATCGGCCTTGGTTTAAAATTGTTCTTCAAGCCTCCGTTCTCCCTTAACTACGTATCTCATATCATGCTTGCTTGTCTCTCTCTCTCATTGCTTGCTTATTTGCACGCTGAAGAAGCCCGTGTTCTCTCTTGAACATGTATTTCTCTCTTCCCCTCCCCTTATATCTTTCTAAATAAGTTTCAATAAAAACTATCCTGTTTCGTCAAAATAAAATAATAATAATAATATATATAAATAGAATAAAATGAAAAATAATTATACCTTTGCCTCATTTTCTGTTTTAAAATTGTGGTCTAGAGAAATTGTACTTTTGATTCTAAGATAATTATTTTAGTTGACTAAAATACTTTTTTCTAATAAGTATTATCAAAACTTATCTTGGGGTCCAGTTTTTATCAACTTTTGTATTTTTTGTTTGAAGTTGCTCTAATGATAGTCTGGATTGATGATATACATTCCAGCATGCTGTGGTGAGATGGGAGGGAATGTTATCAATCACCTATTCATACTTATAGGAATCACTGACAGTACTGAAAAGGAAGGTACAGCAATATGCTCTGTACATTTCCCTCTATGATCTAGGTATTTAACTTTTCTAAACATAATATACTTTAGGGCTGGAGCGATAGCACAGCGGTAGGGTGTTTGCTTTGCACGTGGCCGGCCCGGCTGAGCCGGGTTCGATTCCTCCGCCCCTCTCGGAGAGCCCGGCAAGCTACCGAGAGTATCTGGCTCGCATGGCAGAGCCTGGCAAGCTCCCCGTGACGTATTCGATATGCCAGACACAGTAACAACAAAGTCTCCAATGGGGACATTACTGGGCCCGCTCGAGCAAATCAACGAACAACGGGAGGGTCTTTACTTTACTTTACTTTTACTTACTTAATATAATTTAGAAAGATAACTTAAGTTTCCTAGATAGTGAGACATAAACAGCTTTCTGCAATCTGTCCTTTTATGGTCATTGTAAGAAAATACGCTCAAACATTGTAAGAAAATAAGCTTATAAAAAATAGAATTGCTTCTCAGCCTGAAGAGATAGAACAGTGGGCAAGGCACTTTTAAGGTCTAGTAAGACCCAGGTTTGATCCGTGAGACCCTTCATGGCCCCTGAGACCACCAGAAAGAAGTTCTAAGCACCACCAAGTGTGACCCCAAACCAAAAAGAATTACTCCTAATTCACAATTTTAATAAGCATTTATTTAAGGCCTACTTGTGCTTCTGACTAAGAAGATAGAATCTAGTCAAGTTCTAGCAACTATATTTCAGCTTGAGCTTTACAGCTCCAGTCCTAGTGTTGATGTGTTTTTACAGCTCACACATTACAGCTCAGAATTCATTTGGAGCTTCAGAACTCCCATTTCCTAAAACACAGACCCAAAAAGCCCTTGAGACTATGTCCAAGTAATTCAGTCTGATGCCATGTTTCTTTGTTTGATATTACTTATCAGTACCAACCACTCCTTTAGAAGCTGGACTTGAAAAGATATTGTCCCTATATTCTCTTGGAATTCAAGCCCAATTCGCAGAAATGTGACCAGAAGAAGAGAATTTAGGAAATGTGATTGTCAGTGTGCTTTCCATTAGAAATTGACAAGTGAAGCTTAAAGGCTGAGCGTTGAAAAAGAAGAAGTCTCTGTCAGTTATAACAGCATGCATGAACCTGGAAGACCGTATGCTCAGAGAAAGAGTTACAGGAGGACAAAGACTATGTTATTTCACTTATGTAAGATTCTAAAATAGCCAAACACATAAAAACAAAGAGTGCAGTAGCAGTTGCCATGGACAGTGGTTGTGTGGTGGGGTAAGGGTGGAACTTTATTCGATAAACATAAATTTTCAGTCAAACAAGATAATAAATTGTAAGTTCCACTATAGTACCAGAGGTGACAATGGTAGATGTTTCAACGTGTAAGAGGCTGGATGCCCTATTAGGTGTTCTTACTAGAAATCAAACAAAAAACAACTGACGAACATAAGATGGCTCTGTGAAGTATTGGATATGTCATTTACCTTGTTGTCATGGCATCACAGTTATCTACATGTGTCTGAACTCACCAAATTGTACCATCAAATACATGCAATTCTGAGGCTTGAGTGTTTATATAGTGGGTAGGGCATTTGCCTTGAACGAGGCTGACCCAGGTTCGATTCCCAACATCCCATATGGTCCCCTCAGCACCACCAAAAGTAATTTCTGAGTGCATGAGTCAGGAGTAACCTCTGTGATTCGCTGAGTGTGACCCAAAAAGCAAAATACACACACACACACACACACACACACACACACACACACACGCAGTTCTTTGTTTATTAGTTCTACCACAATAACTTTAGTAGGCAGGGGAACAGGGAGTTGAGACTTGTTCAGTTATGGAAGAAATGAAAAAGCTTAGAATTATTGACAATGGAACTGAGAGACAGTGCAGTGTAACATGGGTTCAATCCTCAGCATCTCTTATGGTCCCCCAAGCACTAAAAGCACTCAGGGCTTACTCTTGGCTCTGCACTCTTGGGTATGCTACCTCCCCCCAAAAGGGGGCTTGTTCAAGAATTACTGGCAGAGAAAAACAGCCTGAGTTAAAGCATGTACTGACTTTGTAGAGAGTGAGACAGGCAAGCAGCCAGACACTGGAGTGTGGAAACTTGGGCCAGCACTGACACTCAAGCCCAAACAGGAGCTTGGTAAATATTATGCGAAGCTGTACAAGTTTTCAAAGCCATGAAAATGTGTGAAAAGTTCTAAGTAGCTAGATTTCCATAAGCAGATTTTTTTGAGGTTTGCTTGTTTGAAAAGCAAGCAAGATTCATTGTAGCTATGGTAATATTTATCATTTTTAAGTGTCTGCAGGGTATTTGTTTTATATCTGAAGGATGTCTGATGAGTCCTGTATTTTATTACTGTATGTATATCTTAGAGAAATATCTATTTACTTGTGGACATTTTTAAACCAAACTGTTCGTTTTTTATTCTTTGTCCTTTTGAACATTGTATTAAGTGAGATGAAGGAAAAGTTGAAGAAGCTCAAATTCTTCTGATTGAGATTGAGAGATAGTGTATGATACAATCTAGTGATTTGCATGTGATATTCCTGAAGCAGGTATTTAAATTTTTGAAAGCTTTAAATGTATCTACTTTATCAAACAGAACGCAAATAATCAGTAGTATCTTTCTAATATAATTTTAGCATATTTATTTGAGCAATGTTTCTTTAGAAGTTAGAGGGAGAAAGTTGTATTGTGATAAGTATGATTGAAAAGAACCAAGAAGTTATCAGGAGGCATAAATCCTTTGATAATAGAATATTTTACTCAGTTTTCTCAAGAAAATATTC